TAAAAACATTATATGAATTTAATTATTAAAGAAAAATTATATGAATTTTCTTATTAAAATATATATTACATGAATTGATTTATAAAAAAAATTATATATTACATGAATTGATTTATTAAAAACATAATATGTGGACATAGAATCGTCCAAATTTAATTTGAAATATCCTACAATATTAAGTTTTAATCATGTGAAATAAATTTTATTGAATTATTTTATTTTGGTTAGAAAGTAGAAACGAAAAAATTTTTTTTAAAAAAATTGTTTTTTATAAATTCTTCTTTTAAGGCCAATTACAAGATTAATTATTAAATCAAAACGTAAAAAACAAATTAAAATATTTTAGATGAAAAAAAATAAAATAAATTATTTATTTATTTCAAATTATATCTTATCAATACTTTTGTTTCTGCAAATAAGTGTTAAAATTTATGGTATATATCATACTCTTAGAAAGGGCCGGTCACCGGCCCTAGGGTATGACTCTAGTTTTATATATAAAAATGAATGATAATCATTTCATTAGTGCTTAATAATTACCTAAGATGAAATGTTTATCCAGTTACTGCAATTTTGTAATAATTGATCTACATTCGGGTTTGTTTGTCATATATGCAATGATGCAAATGCTTGTACTTGTGATCACCGTTTTTGCACATAATGTATTTTGCATAAATATTGTTACCGTATTTATTTATACTAATAAAGGTATTTAATAATAAAAAAAAAAGAAAAAAAGATATCTTTCCAATTAGAGATAATTTTGATATAGTAATGGACCAACGTATTGAAGGTATATCAACAAGCTGAAATATTAATTCATGTTTAATATTTTATATAATTCAACTAATTATATTCTTAATTTAAATAACTAGATTGTAAGTAATTATAATTTACAGTAAATACTTTTATATTATCTTTATATCTAACTAATTAATAATTAATAATACTACAGGGTGTAAGTTATATGATATCTATATTTAGGGCATTGACATATATTAGAGGGTGGGGAGTAAAAAAATATTAGGCTATACATAATATAAACCATGTGAAATGGTTGTGTTTGGTCATAAAATCTTACCTGGTGGGTGAGTAAACGTTACTATTAAATAATATTAGCTAATATATGTCACTGTCCCTTATATTATTTGTACAATTCAATTGAACTAATTTATTTATTTAAAAAATTATTTCATAGATGGTAAGTTATTTATTTAATTCTATAATTACTTATTATTATAATATTTACATATAATTTAAACTACCTAATTTCTTTATTTAAAAAATTATTTCATAGATGGTAAGTTATTTATTTAATTCTATTATTACTTATTGTTATAATATTTACATATAATTTAAACTATTTAATTTCTTTATTTAAAAA